GCGCTAAGTCCAAGTAAATCAAACTTTTGTGAAGCACATTTGACTCTGTACAGAACAAAGTCCTCATTGCGAATATTTCATTGATTAAGATCGGGAGTTAGTGTGCGTTGTTTAAGTGTTCCCTTTTTTTTTTGAGCAATGTATATATAAACATATTTTGGATTTCAGTATCAAGCGTGAAAGTCTTGTTTCAGATGATGGTTAATCACTTTTAAACACTGGTTTGGAACAATTTCAGTCCACTTATCGATAAAGGTCCATTATAGATACATTTCTATTGAAAAAATGTCAGAAATTTCACTTTCAAATCATAAGTAGATGATTTATATTTATTTTATATCATTTTCACAATTTTAATAAATTGTTGGTAGAAAAACCACACATTTACTATGGTAATCTCACTGTATACAATCATTTTGTCTGTTCAGATGCACTTTTTGTTTTACTTAAAAATAAAATAAATCACCATTGCCTACAGCGAAAATGTAGACTAAATAGTTTTGCCTTTGTCTTTATGTGTGGGTACATCTGTGTCCACTGAACAAATTTGAATGAATTTGTCAGAATGATCATTGGATGTACTGAACATCTACAAGAGTCCCCCAGCAATTCAAGATGCCTGCCACAACTATTTGACCTCAGCAAACAAAAAATGGTCAAAACTCAGTCAACCCTACTAAAATCTGAGGTGAGACTGATCCCTATACTCCAACAAATTGTATAAGATTTTTGTTGAAAAAGTAGTCATTAACTTTTGGGGTCAACCCTGTTTTTTAGCCAAATACCCCATGAACCATTAAGCAGTATTATTGAAACACTCTCCAAGTAGTAACTGGATGTACTGTACATTAAAGAGTAACTTACCCTAAAATTAACTTTTCTTAGCTGATAAACTGTCTAGAATGTGTCTAAAATGTTACATAGTACTGTTTCTGAGCTAATTTTGATGTTTTTGTTCGTATTTGTTCAAATCTGTAACATTTGGTCTAAAAACGTGTTTTTGCTGCTCATATGGGTGGAGCAGTGGTACTGCAGGCTAATTTGCATATTGGTTAACGGCTCTCCACGGTGACGTGTCTTCTCCACGGTTTCGTCACAGGGGCTGTGTTCTGGTATAAAAGCCTCTCTCTAAGACACGCCCCTGCAGCAGTCAGAGGGTGGACAGGTGCAGCAGCTGCGGTCAAACTGCCTCTCGCTTTAAAACCAGTCAGCTGATCAGTCGCGGCTTTGTTC